AGTTGAGCACTAAATAAAGAAATTCAGGTTTTTTCCCACTTCTGTCTTGTGAGCATCATCAGCAAGGTGTAGTAGCTGCTGATACTGATTTGTCCTCGAGTGTCGAGCTGCACAGTTTCTTCCAGTCTGTCTTTCCCTCTGCTTGTTCCCGGCACCTGGAAAGGTCTTCCATGGTCTTCATGGGCACACCTAGCTTATTCAACTGAGCGACCAGACTTGTGGCTAGTGTCAACCTTGGCCGCCCACGAGGTGCTTTGTTGTCCTTGTCCAAATAGCCGCTCATGGCTACTTAGGGTGGCGTGTCCGTGTCCATCTGTAGCACATGACTGGTCATTCGTAGTCGCCTACATGCAACTGTGTCATGTATTACTACAATAACTCAACTAAGTCCTCAGCAGTCATGGAGTAGCGGCAGGTTGGGCAAGTTGGGCTGGGGGCAGAACTGGTCCACTCCTTGATACAGTGGAAGTGAAATTCATGACCGCACTCCAACTTGGATAGAGGACGGTCCAGGGTATCCTGACAAATCACACAAATGGGCTCATGACTTATTGCTGACGAGTCTACCTTAGTAGGCACTACATTGATGTACTGCAGCTCCATGGGGTGTATTGCCTGGTCTTGATGGTGGTCACCGTAATACACCCCGTTGAGGTACCACTGATAGATACCCTCCTCCTCCTGAGAGATGAAAGCAGGTCCATCTTCCCTATGCCGAAGGTTGTATCGGTACCACTCCCGTACACGGTTGTTACCTTCCCTGCGTATCACGGCTGGCGCATTCTCCCTGTGGAGCCGGCCGTGATAATACCACTGGATGGTGATACCATCATCACTCCGAGTGATCCTGGCTGGTCCGTCTACTCTGTGTAGACGCCCTTGGACATACCAGGCTTCCAGCAAATAGGCGCCATCAAATCTCTCCGTCAGAGCAGGGCCGTCGCCGATCCTTTGTCTGACGCCATTCCAATACCACTCTTTGCGGTGTCGGTAGAACCCCTCAGAGTCTTCACCAAGGTCTGAAAATGTTTCCACTGCAGGACCATCATACCTGTGGAGTCTTCCGTGGTGATACCACCGTAGAATACCGCATGTGGCGTCACAATAACTGACTGCAGGACCGCCGGCTCTATGACGGGCGCCGTTGAGGTAGTACTCTATGCTACCCCGTCCTATCCAAGCAGGTTCATTGACGCGATGAAGGCGACCTCCATAGCACCAGGCGGACACTCCCCTACTATCAACAAGAGCTGGTCCGTCCTCCCGATGGAGTCTACCATCGACGTGCCAAATTTCTTGCTGCGCGTTTTGATCTGCCAACTCCACAACAGTTCTTATTGGCGTCCGCCTTTCTATTAGTAAAGGACCCGTGGTGAGAGACCACGACCGGTCGTCCACGTCTACACCGAATGTATCAGCCATATCTATTTACTGAGAATAATGTAACAACTCCTCCACAAACGCTTCTACAACTGACGTCTTCTTCATCCTGGTTTTTTCCTCTTGGTGGTTTTGGATAAAAGTTGAAAAGTCCAAAAGGTCAACTGATGACCTTTGCGTTACTTGGTATGATTGGGTTTCAGCGGATGATGTCGGTATGCAGCTGGGGAGCGAATTCGACAGGAAGAAGGTAACGGTCTTGCTTTGCGGTTCACACCTTCACTTCAGTATCATTACAGTCCAAATGGCTTTCACTTGTCACTGTAGCGTTCGAATGTCAGGGGTAATACCCCTGTTTCAGCACCTGAGGCGGTGCGTCAAGCGCCGCCTCTTTCTCATCATATATTGTGACAAATGGTAAGTGTGCAGTGCTCCTAGCTCTCTCCCCCAACAAAAGAGCTCTATGACACTGTGCTTTCTGCGGTTTCTTTCGTTTTTACAGTGGAGAAAGGCTGGTGGGAGGGCCAGCCGTGGTCGCCCACCTGGCGGGTGCGGCCCATCTAACCCGTTACTGGGAGGGTCGCCAGGTCGGGCTGCTGTTGCAGTCCGACTACCGGGACGCCTTGGAGCGTATTAGGGCCCTGTAAGTAAGCACTGCTCTGTCTACATGTATACTTACCCCCCCTCGTTATAGCGATACTTACTTGTTTCGTATCCTCTTGTCTTACCCTGCTTTCGTATTCGTGACACTAATAGTGTTTGTGTGCGCTCATGTTTGGTTTTACAGATGATGATGTATGAAGGTCTGGAGCTGCCGTCTTCGGGATGTGCCATTTGTTTCAAAATTATTTGTAAGTACTTGTAACAGGCGTAGTGTAGTAACTGTGTGTGTAGTGTAGTAACATTGTGTAGTGTTTTGTGATGGTCCTGTGCTATAGCAGTCGTAATGTGTTTTGTGATGGTCCTGTGCAGTCGTAATGTGTTGGGCTACTGAAGTACACTGCATGAAGGGGTATGTGTGGGTGCTTCGACACATTCTCGTGCTTCCTAAACCCTAGATATGTGTATAGCACTATAACCTAGATGTGTGTGTGTGTGTGTGTGTGTGTGTGTGTGTGTGCCCGCGCATGCGTGCGTGTGCGTGCATTGTGTTCTCTTCTACAGAATCATCCAAGTCCATTTAAATAAAAGTGCATTATAGTAAACAGTATTGTGTTTTGTTACAGTGAATATGTGGGGAATGGTGGATATGCCTTAGTGTGACTGGATACCTGCGGGGTGTGACTCTTTGCTGGTCACTCTGGATTCTCCAGTATAGATTCGGTGCAGTGCAGAGGGGATTTGCGGTGCGTAGCAACACTGCTTCACTGTGACACCCCTTTAATTATTGTTTTGATGCATGATACTGCGGGCGGAGCCGGTTGATTCTAACTGTATCTTGATCAAAATAGAAATTTGCATCTAATGGACCTGCATGGACAGTAGGCATTTCCCTAATCGGCCGGGCGAAAAATTCGCCGAAAACAGTGGTTTTGAAGAAATTACCCATCTTTTCGCCGAATTTTCAAAAATTCGCATGTTGAATTCGCCGAAAACCGATGCTTCAGTGCTTCAACAGGGTGTATGTAAATGTACATGACGTAATGGGAACGGTGACTTCAAGTACTATGTTGAGCCGGATTCTGATCTTGGAGCTCATAATATGGCCGAATTTGAACATTCTCTTAACCGATCGAAAAGCCGATTAGGCAACTTGTCAGTGCACATCTACGATGTGCGAATAAAACGAGTGCATGGCACGTGAACTAACTTGTTTGCTGCACATCTACGAAGTGCGAATCAGGGAGTAGTATAATGACACGTGTACTAGTACACCTTGTGTTGCACTGCGTCTTTCCCGCAGGGCCACTGAAGGTCACACGCTCCGCCTGCGTATGCACGCATGCGCAATATGTCACTGCACATCTACGATGTGCAAATCAGGGAGTAGTACGTATTTTACTACTCCCTGGTGCGAATGCACCGAACGTGCACAAGTGCACGGTCGCCACGGAAAAGAACATGATGACATTTATGGCATGGCAGGGCCAAAGGTCAAACCCTGGGGGAGTCCCGGGGCCAGACCAAGCGCGCCCGACACAGTGTGCCTTATTTAACCTAAAGGTCAAAGGTCAAACCCTGGGGGAGTCCCGGGGCCAGACCAAGCACGACCGACACGGTGTGCCTTATTTGGCCCAAAGGTCAAAGGTCAAAAAGTGCACCAGAACCTGCCCCGCACTAACTACTCTTGCGGAGTAAAAAAAGAAGAAGTAAAGGGTTAGTTCTGTTCTTGGTTTAGTTTTTGGCCTTTTTCGTGCTTTGGAGTTATTGTTGTTGACATGTATTTTGGTCCTTCTGTAGTAAAGGGTTAGTAAGCCGGATTCGCGGCCGCAACACCTGACGTGTTGGTGGCACACATCAAGCAAACACGTTCGCATCGGCGGGCCGCCACTTCGCCCAATATCCAGATATCCTCGCGGAGGTAGCTACTGATTATGTTTTTGGTCGTGTCAAGTACAAAAACAAACAAACAAAAAAGGCACAAGGCCAGTTCGTTGCAACTGAGATTCCTGCTTAGTTACTCCGTCTTTGCTTGTGCAAATGCAACAATCGAAGGGTCTACGTGGTAGCAAAAACTCCAAGCTGTCCAATGCAACAATCGCTGAAGAGTTTTACGGTGTAGGACTCCAGAGATATCGCGCGCCGTATTCAGGTATTCTTCCCTCGGAAAATCAATTTTTTTGATCGATTTCTTCGCCATTTTGGGGGAGAATCCCTTTTTGTGTGCTCTTTGAGCGACTAAGCACTTTATAATGATGTAGCCCGCTGAAGTTTGAATCGCCTCGAATAAATTCGAGCGTTCTACGATGAAGGAGAGTGGAATGGTGTTGATGGGACGAATTTGCTCGCATATTAGGCTTGGAGACGACTTTGCTGTGTTACCGCGCCTGATTTGTGGCGGCTTCATAATGGAGCTTGGCATCCTGGCGTTGCTCCTGCCAAGAGCTTTCCAACGAGCCCTAAATTGTGAAAATCAAGCGAAGTAGACCAAAGTTATGACCTGGTGAAGTTGAAAATTGTACTGAATTCGTAGGCTTCACGAGTGAACTCTGTGGCTGGAAAGGTTGCACAGGATCGGGGTTTTTGCCAGTCTTGGTGCCATGGCATGGCAAAGGACAGTAGATCTACACTATACTATAGACTGTATAGTACGCTTGGCTCAATGGAATCTGATGTCACCGGCGCCGGGCGTCGTTCAGCCCCGGACCTGAGAACACGGGGCTGTGGACTGGTACACCATGGTGCAGGGCGCATGCAAGCTTCATACTGTTACACACAGCTAGCCGCAAAGCTGCTTGCACGGGACGAGAATGGCGCTTGGGCGCGAGCGTTGCCGTATTGCGTGGTCAAGCTGTCGCCTTCACACCTCAGGGGGAAATAATTCACGCTTTTGTTCTCTTTCGGGCGACATTTCTATTCTTGTCCCCACTCTCGGTACGTCGATGGCAGAGACACAGTCGACTAGTCAGCGACGAAAGAAATCACTAGCGGTGCCAGTTCAACTGTTTTGTTCACAAGCCCCGCGGGCCCGGTGCCGTTGCTGTTTCCACTTCGCAGATTGGTGTTTGTATTATCATGTTGGCGCAAAGCAGTTTGCTTCTGCGGTCGAGCACTCGCCGGCGCCACGGAGCGAGCAGACGTGTGAACTATGTTACTTTGCACCTTGCTAGCGCCTAGCACATAGCGCCTGCCGACTGGATGGTTCCTGCTACAGTAGTGCTAGTTCACTGTTCTAGCGCTATCTCCTTCACGTTTTGGTGTGCTAGCTGGCTCTCTCCCGCCCGTAGATCTACTGCATGTGCAGGGTTGGGCTGCAGCCTGTGCAGGAGGTTACTCTTGCCAGTCTTGGAATCTCTCGCGAGTGTCGGTCGTGGCGTGTGGCGTGCGCTAGGCACTTGTGACTTAGCACCTAGCCACAGCGTAACGTTTACTAGCGTAAGTGTAAATAGCATTATAAACAAAAGATGTCTCCGCGGTTGTTGGCAACAGTAGCGTCTAGCTGTGTTGCTGTAATAGTAGTGGTGTGCTGCGTGTTTGTGAAACTCTGTGCTTGAAAGCGTCTTGACTGACATTGTACAAGTTTGACATCTTTTTATTCTCACAATGTCCTGTGGCCGATAAGAGAAACTTCAGAGAAGGTATTTATTACATAATTGTACACGACAGTAACACGCAGAGTTGCGTTAGAACTACTTGGCGAGTAGCCGTTTATAGCTTCTTGCAACTTTCTTTCTGCTTTGCCCCGACTGCACGACATCATCTAAACTTGACCTTGGCTTGGGCTTCTGTGGACAGCAAGACTGCAAGAGCGGTGACGACCTGCCCATACCGCCAGATACAGGTACATAGTCATTGTCATTGTATATCAGTAAACCAATTACAAGGATTGCCGTTGTGACATTTTGTGGGAATCTGGTCACGTGTTGTGCATGTGCATGTGCTATGGGCGATTCGATTACGTCATTATTGATTTGGAGAGATAGAAGTCATGATTGTATGCGTTCATTGCGTTGCAGGAATGAGTGATGTACCACGCACGCACATAACACGCATGCAGAGGCATACCGGTACTGGTTGCTTCCTCCAGCAATACTGTGCCAATAGGCAGCATGGCATCATCAGCAGATGATCAGGCTCCATGCAATGGCATTTTACCAGTAAAGCAGTACCATCATGATGACTGTAAACTGTGTACAGTCATGTGTACGTGTATGTACTTCCATTACGTCATCCATTACGTCATCGGATGACGTAATGAACGATCCCTATTATGGGTAGGCTTGTCCACAAAATGTTTTCAATTATTTCTGAATTTTGGTTGGATTTTCGCACTTTGAATTTTTTTTGAATTTTGGCCTCATCAGGATTGAATTTTAGCCGTTTTTGGAGAACGACAGTGCTGTCACATCTGGAAAGTACATGTGCTGCTCAATATATTACCAAGTTTGACATGTGAAAACAGTACTTTCAAATACACACACCTTTGACCTTTTGACACCCATCCCCCGAATTTGGAAGCACACAGCAGTACAGACACACATGATAAGCAGTTTGTGGTTTTATTTTATCATTTTTTGGAAATGTTGGGTACGAGTACTGTAAAAACCATGGCAGCGGATCGAATTTTTTCTGCATTTTGGGGGATTTTTTGAATTTTCTTAAAACATATTGATTGTTTTTTTCGCTTTTCGAATTTCAATTTTGGACAAAATAATTCGCATGATGTGGCCACCCTTAATTATGGGTGTTTGTAGTACTAGTAGGGTGCTAGTTTTGCAGTGAGATAACTGTTACAGTCCGACTCTTAGCAGTTTGCACTGAGTCACAAAGTCAAAGAACTAAAAAAGCCATGATCGTGATGTGTGTGTGCAGGATGGTGTACATGACTGTGTGTGTGTATGCACAAGCAGTGTAGTGGTGGATCCAGAGATCTCTACAGGGGCGGGGGTCCAGTTTAGCCTGGCAAACTGAATAGCTGATACATAGGCATTGGCGGATAATGCTCGAAAAGGTGGCAGATTCTGCTCGAAAAGCAGCGAAATTGGCAGAACCATACAAACCTTATGGCGGGCAATTCCTCGAATTCTGCTCCATTTCTTTATCCACATACCAACCATGCATGACACTTACCAGAAAAAGTACCGAATTCTGCCAATTTTTCTGCCGGCATTATCCGCATATGCTACGCTTCCTGAAGTACATTTGCGAAGTTTAGGGGGTTCCACGGAACCCCAGAACCCCGGATCCGCCCCTGACGAGTATGCAGCTGTGCAGCTTTGGCACACTGGTAACTCACACAGCTGCAGCGTGAATCACTTTCAATGTATTGGTCACGCTTGTTGCACTGCGCATCCCGCACTTGCAACTCTCAACCTAAGTCTTGCTTGCAGATCCATGACATGGATAGTAACTAGTCTCACTGCATTCAATGTTTCATGATGACCTTTAAGACATACCAGCACATTTTTACTGTAGACATTTTGATGCATTTCACTTCCAACCGCCTTTCATTTACAATTACGCCCATTGCCCACATCGCATTCAGCTCCTTCTTCTGCGTAGAACCAAATGACATTCCTTGTGCAATGACGCCTTCTGCGGCCCACACATCTTACCTTGTGCAATGACGCCTTCTGTGGCCCACACATCTTACTTGGACCTTTCTTCTTCTTCTGCGCTACGTATCCCCTGGTCATAGACTCATAGGCTAGCTTACTTACACTAACAGTTTCTCACCTTATAAAAGCTGCTGTTCACAATTCAGTTCACTTCAGTTTAGAGTTACAAGCCGGTTAGAATTACTCCAGTTAGAGTTAGAGTCAAGAGTTTTTTTTGTTTTTTTTTGGTAGAGTCAGAGTTAAAGTTTACAATGTACCGTAAAGTCTTGTATAAAAGCCGCACTTGAATAGAAGCCGCAATTTTGGGCCCATCAAATCACACATAAGCCTGGTTTTAGTGTTGACATAAATAGAAATACCTGTCTTGTATAGAAGCCTGTCTCATATAGAAGCCTGCAAAATTTCACCAAGAAAGTCATAGAAGCCGCGACTTTTATACAACACTTTACTGTAGTCTTCAGTTCAGTTCAGCAATAATATACAACAGTGTGGTCACTGAGACCCGAGTGCATTTGCCTGAGAGAGAGAGAGAGACTGCGGGCCGCTACAGCTGCATGAAACGTAGTTACTAGTACGGTGTAGAGTATCGTGTTTTTCGGAGTGTTAAGCCGCACCGGGCGGGGTCTAAACCATAGCTCCATTTCCCGGCCCAACACTTCGTATTTTTGTTGGTGTCTGTAGTGTAAGCTGCATGGCAGTCTGTGAATTTTGGGGACCTCCCGAAGATTATAATTATGATCAAATCAGTCTATTATACTTCAGTGTAGGCTTTCCCCAAATCGGCCCGTTTTTTCCGCCTATTCGACTTTTCGCTAGGCTCAAAACTAGGGGTCAAAGGGGTGTACCGGGTACCCGGGTACCCGACCGTTAATTTCAGGTACCGTTAGTAAAAGAGTACCCGTTTGGATTTTGATGAACCAGTCAGTAAGGAGCAACACTGCTGGGATCGTGTATTCCAGGCGGGAGTCAATTATTTACAACTCCACGCTGGATGGCTGCATTGTTGTTGCATTTACGCACCTAGTAGATCTACTCCTGCGACTATCAGACACCAATCGATTAGCGAATCACAATGTGATATCAAAATGCAACCCGAGAACAGATGAATTAAAATCTTGATTTATGTGAAAATTGCGCAAAATATTGAACATGGCTTTCTAAAGGGTACCCGTTAACCTGCCCGTTAAGAAAATTACCCGTTCGTTAGTTAAAGGTACACCCGTTTGACCCCTACGAGTCAAAACTACATCAGATTGTGTGTTGATGTGTTTCATTCGAATGTTGTCAACTATCGTCGCCAGAGAAAATCTGTGGGTGTACATCTATTGCATTTGCAGATTTGCGTACTTCTCTTGCGGCAGGCATATAATATGTAGATGGTACATGGTGTGTGTGTGTTTGTCTGTCTTTGCATGCGTGTACACACACACACACACACACGTCAGTTCGTGCGCATACATATACAGCAGACAAAGGCGACGGGGAAGCCCACCAGCACCACCACCAGCAGCACCACCAGCAGCAGTATCACGCAGAATGGACTTCAACGACGAGTGGTACACCCGCGATCGCAATGCTCCATTCGACCCCATGGGAGGGCCCTCTGCAGTCGCTAGAAAGAAACAGAAGGGTAACCATGGTAACAACCGCTACCTGGATCCAGAGGACGATGACTGCTACGCAGATCTCTACGGCGATGACGTCCCCAAGGGAGACGGCGTCGTTGATATGATGATACGAATGAATGCGCCGTTGCGCCTGGTGACACACGAGGCCGTGAAGCGAGACATGATGAGGCATCTTCATTACTTTAACAACATGGAAGCGCTCAAGTCGTTGGCCGCGTCGCGTAGAAACCTGGACAAGCTCCAGAAATGGCAACCGAAACCCACCGTGCTGGCACAGCTGTAAGGGAATTGGCAACTTAATTCACATGGCACTTTGATAATCCAGACTGTCTGTGAAAGACTTTTCCAGCACTGTGCTTGAGCAAACGATATTTCCATTGCAGTTTTAGTATGCGGATGTTTGTACATGTGTACGCATGCCGTTGCATGGTGTGTTTACATGCAGGAAAGGCTTTACAATCGAGCAAACCCTGGAAATGTGTAGGGCCGTGGCTCGCAGTGAGCTGAGGGAGATCGAGGCGGAGGTCAAGCGCGTTCAAAGACAACGGGAACCAGGTACACGAGTGTGGATTGGTTTAAGTGTAGAAGTTACTTTACAAGTACCGTATTTGGCAGAAAGTATATATTTCGTGGTTAAGAGTACTAATTCTTGTGGAGCTAATGTGGATATACCGGTAGATTCGTAGATTCGAACTCCAAGGCGGACAGTTTTTTTACATTTTGTTCTTCATGCATGTCTCAGATCCATATATTTCGTGGTTAAGAGCACTAATTCTTGTGGAGCTAATGTGGATATACCGGTAGATTCGTAGATTCAAACTCCAAGGCGGACAGTTTTTTTACATTTTATTCTTCATGCATGTCTCAGATCCACGTGTTATTACTGTGAGCCCCCCCCCCCCCTTCCCCTCCAGAACCGGTCCGGTTGGTCAGGTGATCAGCGGACTACCATACTTGCCAACCATACCGGTTTCCCCGGTATTATACCGGAAAATTGCGGTCACTACCGGCACACCGGGGTTTTTTGACTTTGATCGAAAAACTACCGGTATTGGCACTGAACCATGAGTGTTCATAAAAAGGTTGCTTTGTGGTGTGACAAGGGCACATGCGGCCCTGCATTTCACAGAATCACACATGTAGGGGCGATCTGACAATAAAGTAACTCAGATTTTGGTCCCTCAATGAGCAATGGGTTAGAAAAGAATAAAAAGAAAGGAAAAATATCCAAAACATTGCGGAAAATACGCAAAAATAACCAAAAATTGCCCCAAGAAAAGAGAAAATGGCCGAAATTGGTGAAAACCAGGAAAATAGAGAAATTAAGGGAAACTGGGTATGTTACTAAGGGATTTGCTTTGGCTGGGTTGGCAAGTATGGACTACCTTGTTGGCCACCAACGTGTGTGTTTACTGCTGTGGATTGAAACATGTCCCCGCTGTATCCAACACGAGTATGAAAGACTATGGTGTTGCTGGACCAATTAGAACTGCTTTTAGCGGTCCTGGCCTCGGGTATGTGACGGCATTAGGAGTTGAGTGAGCAGCTTCTTTTCCGGGCCATACTGGCACAATATTGAATGCAAGCACTGCTACAATGCCCTCCCTGCTAGCATTCGTGACCTTCCCTCCCGACCTGCTTTCAAACAAGAAATCTGCTCACTGCTGATTAACTCAATCTGCTCCTGCAGCGCTCACCCTCTCCCATACTTGTAAAGTGATGCAAATCACTTTCCAACTGCATAACCCGCAGCCCCACCCACAGCATCTCACCTTCTCATAAACGTATCTCTTATTGGCGATGGTGCCATCGTGAGAATAAAGAATTCTACAAAAGCACGATATAGGACAAAACTAGAAGTATCTGTGATATCCGTACTAGTGAGCTACCTCACGTGATAGATCATTATCTTTCTACTCCTCTGCTCTAAGTTGTATCAGCCGCGCATGCTTTTCCGTTGTGCTGCTGAGCTTCTCTGTCGTTCCAATTCGACGTTCTAGTTTTGATCTTGAAGTCAACAGTTCCCCTTTTGTCTTGTCCTGAACTGCTCTGGTGTGATCATAATATTTGGCGACGAAGTCCTTGATTCAGCTGCCACGATGAGCACAGTAAAATCATTGAACCCGTTTGATCTGGAACCGCCTGAGTCGGTTGGCCCTCGTTGGGAGAAATGGCTGGCTCGTTTCGATAATTATTTGATTGCAGCAAACATCACGGAAGACGAGCGGCAGAGAGCCCAGCTCTTGCACGGTGGCGGTGAGGACGTGTTTGACGTCTACCTCACCTTTGACAGCAGTAGCATTACAAGTTACGACGACTTGAAGGATGCTCTGACGGCTCACTTCAGTCCGAAGCGCAACAGGGAATACGAGGTCTACTTGTTCCGTCGTGAGAAACAATCTCAGTCGGAGACCCTTGATAGCTACGTAACTCGTCTTAGGCGTTTGGGCAAGCACTGTCAATTTGCAGATATGGACACAGAGCTAAAGTCTCAGGTCGTACAGCACTGTGTGTCGTCGAAGGTACGTGAAAAGGCTTTCATGGAGAGCAGCATGTCGTTGGCAGACCTCCTTACTTATGCACGTTCAGTGGAAGTCACGATGTCGTCTGTGGCAGCCATGGCCGGGGCCAGCAGCTTCAGCAAGCCTGAACATCCCCAAGTCCATAAAGTGGAGAGGCGACACCCATCAAGTCGTGACCAGCCCAGTCCTTCCAGTAAGGCCGTTCGCAAATGTAGCGGATGCGGGGGGAAATGGCACGACAACCGCTCGGATTGCCCAGCATGGGGCAAGACGTGCAAGTCCTGCAGCAGGTCGAATCATTTCGCAAAGGTATGCCGGTCGAAGGCTGTGCATCAGTTTTCCGAGCAGAGAGCCCCGGAGTTCGCATCACCTGAATACAAATACAGTGCGGAGCTGCACCACACCAGTTGCTCTGGTCATGTGCGTTCCAACGTGGATCCTTATATGTGTAGTGTGAGTCTGGCTGGCACCCCTGTTGTGTTTGAGATAGACACCGGAGCGGCAGTAACAATAATCAACAAAGCGGAGTACCAGACACTGGCGTCGAAAGATACCAAGCAGCAACTCCCCAGTCTGGAGACGAATGACCTGCCGAGCCTTAGGTCGTATGCTGGCAAGATCATACCAGTTATTGGTCGTCTCATCTGCAATGCCCGTCATGCGAAGAACTCGGCTCAGCTGACCATGTTTGTCGTCGAGGGTTCTGGTCCGAATCTGTTGGGTAGAGACGCGCTGCAGACGCTAAAGCTCAACTGGAACCGAGTCTTCAATGTCACCGGAGATCTGAGCAGTGACCTCCTGAGCAAGCATCCTGATGTTTTCAAGCCCGGACTAGGCACCTGGAAGCACGGCAGTGTCAAGCTTGCAGTCGACCGCAATGCTAGACCTCGCTTCCTGAAAGCTCGCTCTGTGCCTTATGCTCTACAGTCTGCCGTGGAGAAGGAGCTGGACAAACTAGTCGACAACAATGTCATTCAGCCAGTCGAATTCGCTGAGTGGGCAGCACCGATTGTGCCAGTTCTCAAGAGCAATGGCCAAGTCCGCATCTGTGGTGATTACAAGTGCACTGTTAACCAGGCAGCCAAGACAGATAAGTACCCATTGCCGAACATAGAGGATTTGTACGTGAAACTTGCTAATGGCTGTTGTTTCACCAAGCTGGACCTCAGTCAAGCTTATCTCCAATTACCACTGGATGAACAGTCTAAACTTCTTACCACCATCAACACCACGAAGGGACTGTTTGTGTACAACCGACTGCCTTTTGGTGTGTCTTCGGCCCCGAGCATATTTCAACGTACGCTCGACCAATTGCTAGCTGGAATACCAATGGTCGTGATCTACTTGGATGACATCCTTGTCTCTGGCACAACTCGTGAAGAACACGACAAACATCTGAACATGGTTCTGGAACGTCTCAACGCAGCTGGATTGCGTTTGAACCGCACCAAATGTTCATTTGCAAGGTCCTCTGTGACATTCTTAGGTCACATCATCGATGCATCTGGAATTAAGCCCACCAAGGAGAAAGTGCAAGATGTCATTGATGCAAGGGCTCCTACCGACGTCCAAGAGCTGAGAAGCTACCTCGGACTAATCAACTACTACCACAAGTTCATTCCTAACCTGAGCTCAGTACTTGCTCCGTTGTATGAACTATTGTCTTCCAAGAGTTGGGACTGGTCTCATCGTCAACAGTCCGCATTCGAGAGTAGCAAGAAGCTGCTCATTGACTCACCCGTCCGTGTGCATTACGACCCTAAACTACCAATTATTGTGAGCTGTGATGCCTCACCGTATGGCATTGGTGCAGTTTTGTCGCATGTTGTCAATGGCGAGGAGCATCCGGTAATCTTCGCATCGCGTACCCTGTCGTCAGCAGAACGAAACTACGCACAGATTGAGAAGGAAGGCCTCGCCATGGTTTTCGCTGTCAAGCGATTCCACAAGTACCTGTATGGCCAATCATTCACTCTTCAAACAGACCACAAACCTCTGCTGGGTTTGTTCAGCGAGTGTCGGCCCGTTCCTGCTATGGCCAGCGGTCGTATTCAGCGTTGGGCGCTGATGTTAGCCAACTATGACTATGAGCTACAGTACAAGCCCGGCAAATCGAATGGAAACGCTGATGGTCTCAGTCGTCTGCCGGCACCAACGCCAGAATTCCAGGTTCCCGTGCCGGCTGAAACAGTTTTGTCAATGACTGTTTTGGACGGAACTCCCGTGACATCATCGAGCGTTGCGCAATGGTCTCGCCGTGATCCAGTACTTGCATTAGTTCTTAAGTACGTCCAGGAAGGCTGGCCTAACGACGTGCATAGTGATTACCAAGCGTACTACCGTCGTCGAAGTGAACTCTCCATCATCGATGGGTGCTTACTGTTGGGGTCTCGCGTTGTCATTCCGCCCCAAGGCCGAGAAAAGTTACTGGAAGAGTTACATTTCAGCCATCCCGGCATAACCAGAATGAAGTCGCTCGCCCGCAGCTACGTCTGGTGGCCATCGATCGATGCCGAAATTGAACTCAAGGTCCGCAGCTGTGAGCCATGTCAAGCAACCCAGAAGTCTCCAGCACTACAGCCATTGCATCCCTGGGAGTGGCCAGGCAAACCCTGGACCCGACTGCACATTGATTATGCAGGCCCTGTGGAAGGCAAGATGCTACTTGTGATCGTCGACAGCCACAGCAAGTACATCGACGTGCATGCCGTTCCATCTGCTACGTCGACAGCTACCATTGGCAAGCTTCGTGAGTGTTTCGCTACACATGGTCTTCCGCAACAGCTTGTCTCGGATAATGGCTCAGTGTTCACCAGCTCGGAGTTTCAACAATTCTGCTCAAGTAACGGTATCAAGCATACCTTGGTTTCACCCTACCACCCAGCAAGCAACGGCCTTGCTGAACGAGCAGTTCAAACAGTCAAATCCGGCTTGAAGAAATTGTCAGGTGCTGGTGGAGACCTAGCGTCACGGTTACACCGCTTTCTGTTTCATTATCGCTTAACGCCTCAGTCAACAACAGGCCAGTCACCATTTCAGCTGCTTATGAACCGCACGCCACGTTCTCGTCTTGACCTGACGTTTCCAGATACATCAGCACGTGTCTTGAACAAGCAAGGTGCTGCTGTTGACCGTCGCACAGCTCGGGCGTCGGATCTCTGTTGTGGTGATGCTGTTTGGGTGATTAACTTCACATCGACGCCTAAATGGATGCCTGGTGTGCTGGAAGAATGTCTTGGTCCAGCCACGTTTACTGTACGTCTGGATGATGGTCGCATATGGAAGCGCCATGCTGATCACATTAGACGCCGTCTTCCGTCCGAGGGAGGAGAAATGCTACCCGAGAGTGCAGGCATATCCGACCGGTCATCACCGCCATCAACTTCAACTTTGGCAACTGCACAGCCGCCGTCACATACAGATGCCGAACCACCACAGCCGTCACAGCCAGAGGTTGCCGCCAGCCGCCAGGATGTGGAATCAACATCGCTATCCTCTTCTGCATCTGCTGCACCTTCTGCTGAATCTTCTACTCAGTCTTCTGCTATCTCTGTTAATTCTCCTAGCTCTAATCTGCGCAGGTCTACACGCTCAAGGAAGTCCCCTGATCGTATGAACTTGTAACTGCAGACCTGCTGGGTTTTGCATTCAGCTCTCTGTTGATATTTGCAGTTCCTTAGTGTGTTACATTGAACTCGCTTCTCGTATCCGCAACAAATTATAGTGAACTCATTTCTCATACTATTGCTTATGTGTTCCTCATCTAATGGTGGAGGGATGTGATATCCGTACTAGTGAGCTACCTCACGTGATAGATCATTATCTTTCTACTCCTCTGCTCTAAGTTGTATCAGCCGCGCATGCTTTTCCGTTGTGCTGCTGAGCTTCTCTGTCGTTCCAATTCGACGTTCTAGTTTTGATCTTGAAGTCAACAGTTCCCCTTTTGTCTTGTCCTGAACTGCTCTGGTGTGATCATAATAGTATCACAGTTACCTGGGTCCTGTTTTGTGTCCAACTGGACCATTGAACTGCACACACACACACAGAAACCATTTTTTATCAAACAGTAAAACCTGTAACTAAAGACCACCATGACTAGCGACCAGCCTGGTACTACAGACCACTTTTCCAGGCACGGACGGCCCTCATATTCATATAATGGTAGTGCGGTGCAAACCTCTAACTAAGGACCACCTGCCACTAAAGACCGCTTTCTCTGGCCCCAAGGGGTGGTCGTCTGTCACAGGTTTAACTGTAGTTACGTATTTCTATCATAGTTAAGTGTGCCTCTTTTCTGTGTCCAACTCGACTGCACACACACACACGCGCGCGCGCAGGGAAACGGTGCGACAACTCCAAGCGCTGTATGCCTCATATGGGCCAGTTCCCGCCCTGGCAGATAACCGGGATCAGCCCCTGGAAGCCTGGCGTCCCGGACGGCACACCCAAGGACATAGCCCAACAGCTGAAGAGGAAAGAGGAGGAGAAACGTTTGGCCAAGAGGAAGAACTGGATGAACGAGGAGCCATCCGACATTAAGTACTCCATATGGCGGACAAAACATCGGAAAAAGGTGAGCTCAGGGATTTTTTTTTACAAAAAAACACCATTTGACGGCACAAAGCAGCAAGGCAGCGATGAGACATGGAATGGCAGGAATGGGGGTGAGGGGCAGGGGCAGCTTTGCCGACCATAGGGTCTCGGCTTCATTGCGACCCAAGTGCTCCACTGAAACAAAAGACTGGCGAAAATACGCAGGGGGGGGGGGGGGGTAGATAACTAGGGAATACTGGGAAAAGTTTGCCCAATATCAGAGAGTCAAGATGTGAATGGAGGAGGGAATGGGAACAGAGTTAGAGCTTCATCTTGTTACGCGTACTGTTGTCCTGCCTGACATCATGTTAAAAGTATCTTTGTCCCTGATACTGTAGTACTGTATGACATCATGTAGTACTGTATGACATCATGTAGTACTGTATGACATCATGTAGTACTGTATGACATCATGTAGTACTGTATGACATCATGTAGTACTGTATGACATCATGTAGTACTGTATGACATCATGTAGTACTGTATGACATCATGTAGTACTGTATGACATCATGTAGTACTGTATGTCATCATGTAGTACTGTATGACATCATGTAGTACTGTATGACATCATGTAGTACTGTATGACATCATGTAGTACTGTATGACATCATGTAGTACTGTATAACATCATGTAGTACTGTATGACATCATGTAGTACTGTATGACATCGTGTAGTACTGTATGACATCATGTAGTACTGTATGACATCATGTAGTACTGTATGACATCATGTAGTACTGTATGACATCATGTAGTACTGTATGACATCATGTAGTACTGTATGACATCATGTAGTACTGTATGACATCATGTAGTACTGTATGACATCATGTAGTACTGTATGACATCATGTAGTACTGTATGACATCATGAAATGCATTTTTCTTTCTTTCTTTCTTTTTTACAAAGACCACTTAAATGGCAAACATGAGATGCAGCTAGGGGAAGCACGCACAACCTGAATCGTGGCAGTGGTGGTGAGGTTTAGGGAGCTCCGCCGACCTGGCGTCTCGACGTCATGGCAACCTAGACGCGCGAAGAGTGGTTAGGGGAGGGAGAATGATCTATTACAGCTACTGTCTCAATAGTTCAACTCCTCACGAGACGGCTTCTTTTAGTTTTACGGACAAACAAAATACAATTCAATGCACCATCATGACGGACTACTAGAACACAACACGAAAAGAAAGAAAACTAATTTGCGCAAGAAAGCAAAAATGAAAAATATGCTAGGACTAGTGGGAGTGCAAACCAAGTTCCCATTAAAAATGCAACATAAATGCTACTCGAAGTATTAGAACCCGTACAACAGACAACCCCAGAACATGGATGTAAACTGTTCTATATCACCCCGTGTCTTCCCTCATAACCGGTACCTCAGCGATTGCCAGGTCCCGCAAGGCATTCAAGGGACGGCGTACGTGCATGCATGCTTGTATAATTCATGTACTGTATAACACGTCATTTTCGGTGTAACTTTAATTTCGGTGATTTCGTTAGAGAAACCAGGCACGTAAATTTAGATTACACCTAAAAGTCACTACAGTACACACTGTCTGTGAAGGGTAGACTGGTCACCTAATTCTACGTTACACCTGAAACCTGGCAGGTCTCTGCTATCGAAATTTTACTACAGTCAGACCTCGCTTAACCGCACACATCCGTTTTCCACAAAAAATATCCGGATAGGCGAGGGAACCGGATAATCGAACACACATTCTGCATGTATGCATGCCATGTGCTGTAAATCGGTAACCCACGATTTTCTTCCGGATGGCGAGGGATTCGGATAAAAGAGGACCGGATAAGCGAGGTCTAACTGTACACCTAAAATTACTCTAATTTCAGAAATTTTCGGTGCTCAATATTTTCGGTATGAGGGCAACAGGCCAGGTTAGGTGAACAGAAATTTTCGGTACAGAGAAGCAGTTCCCTATTGGATTATGTGTGTTAGTGTTTGTTCGGTGTATTGAAATTTTAGGTATGAAACAGACTCACCGAAAGTACCGAAAATAAAAGTACACCGAAAATTTGTGAAATCACAGTACATGTTTTCCAGTATGTTGGGCTTGTTTGTTTCTCCACTGTTTTCCCTACATCCAGACGTGTCACTGTACAGACCTACCCGAGTCATTCGACCCCAGCGGTCCAAGTCCAGCTACGTACAAACCCCGGAAGGTATGTCTGTCATACTTACAAGGAGGGCACACCGTTCACCTTCTTTGACATGTACTGGAAATGAGGAGAGGGCTTGCTCCCCACACTGGAGCTTGAGCTCTTGCTCCCCACACTAGAGCTTGAGCAAGCCCTCTCCTCAAGCTCCAGTGTGGGGAGCAAGCCCTCTCCTAACCAATCATCGCCAAAGTCGCAACCACTGATTTGTACTGGAAATGTACAAGCATTATGCTGGACTCAGTATAAAATCCATAACCACAGCTATTCAATAATATTCAACTATATTCGGCGCCGACCCAAAATGCCTAATTTTAAATTTCAAGCGATGAATTTTTTCTTATCGGCTTGGCTGATGCACTAGTACTAATCCTGTGCCGAAAATGGAATTAGCACTAATATCCATGAACCTTCCAAATTTGGAAGGCCGTTGGTTAGCGCTATCGAGCAGTGCTCAAGCTGACTTTCATGCCGTGGAATGGCTCAGTACTCCTTGTCAGCTTTGTACCAGATTGTGCACGTCTGACTGTTCAAAATCTGACTTAGTTGGTGGACTCGATCGCATAACTGTCCATGTTACGAAAATAAATCGCTACCAAAATGTCGAAAATCGTCAAATGCCAAAATTTTGAAGCGCCGAAATTTTAAGGACAAGGCTTTAAAGCTACACATGTATACAGGTGAAAACTTTCAAAGTGTTGATGTGGAGGAACCTGAAGTCTGTCGTATTTCTAAGTGTAACCAAGTATCACTTTTTGGGCTCCGAGATACCGTAAAACACGATATGTTCGGTGTAACTTTAATTTCGGTGATTTCGGTAGTGAAAACAAACACCTAAATTTAAATTCCACCTAAAAGGCACTAGAGTATGCACTGTATGTGAAGGGTAGGCTGTTCACCTAATTCTAAATTACACCTGAAACCTGGCAGGTCCCTGGTACCGAAATTTTAATACACCTAAAGGTACATGTTTTACAGTATCGTTTTGGTGTGTGGGTTGATGCTTTACAGTAAAGCATCAACCCACACACCAAAACCTCTCTAACTCTCCGGCTGGCATTTGTATGCGGTTCCAGGCTGCACGCAACTTGAACCCAGGACAATGTCAGAACGGCATCCCTTGGGGGCGGGGACAAAGTTCTATCAACACATCATTCTGATTAGTGGTCCATAATTTTCGAAAATAAAAAAACGTCCTCACGCAAAAGGGGGAGGACGGAGAAAGTTTTGCACGAGAACAGATTTTCCCCGGTAACTACGGACGACGCCTTACAGAGCAAATTTCTGAAATTCTCGATACCAGAAGGGGCCAGAGCATAGTTGTATAGCCTGACAGATTTGCTCTCATGGCATTCAGCGAGGTCTATTACATGAAATTCTACTATTTTCTTCTGTTGTCGTGTCCAGGTTGAAGCTCGCATACCTGCACCTCTGCCGTACATCCACCGTCACGCTAAACACCCAGGTGAGAGAGAGAGAGAGAGAGAGAGAGAGAGAGAGAGAGAGAGAGAGAGAGAGAGAGAGAGAGAGAGAGAGAGGGAGGGAGGGAGGGAGGGAGGGAGGGAGGGAGGGAGGGAGGGAGGGAGGGAGGGAGGGAGGGAGGGAGAGAGAGAGAGAGAGAGAGAGAGAGAGAGAGAGAGAGAGAGAGAGAGAGAGAGAGAGAGAGAGAGAGGGGATGCCTGCCATGTACTGAGAATTCTTTTTCTGGATTAGTTGGTCTCCCTTTCAGAGGGGAGGGGGGAGGGGGGGGGGCCAGATTGTCAGGGCAAAATCCGGGGATTTTCCTTGGTTTTCCGGGATACCGGCATGTAATATTTTTTTCCAAAATTCCTTTTTCAACTGTTTTGAAATGATGACACCAACATGTTGTGGCAATAGTGATTCCCTTGACTGCCCTTGTTATTCTGACCTTATTGATTACAATTGTAGATGATGACAGGGGCGTAGCAGCCGGTCCGGCTGGTCCGGCTTTGGCCTGACTACTTTTTCGCCCGACCACGCCCAACAGTGCCCAGAATGCAGGATTTTGCATCCTATTTTCAAAAATTTCCCGGGGGAGAGCCCCCCGGACTCACCCTCCTGCCCCACCAACTCCAAAGGTGCTGCTACGCGCCTGCAGTGATGGTGATGATATAGTTCACATTTTACGCATGTTCAAGACTCAAAAGAGGTTTTTCAGGAACTGTTCATGGAGAGAGAACTAGTAGACCCTCTGGTACTACAGCTATGGAGGTGCAGAATGGCAATAACGACAACTTGCCCCCAGTGCTGTAGACAGCAAGCTGTTTCGGCCATAAAGGCCTGATCAGGACACCGACAGCTACGAGCTTTAAAAGCAGGCCGAGCTACCAGCCATGTTGCAAAGGAAGCACCACAGACATTAAAATTAAGATAGCTCGTCGCTCTCGCGCCAAAGTGCTCAAACTGCGAAAAATAGCGGGCAATGCGTAATGCAGCAGCACTAGAGCAGCCTACCGAGAGTGCTTAACATGACGAATGTCGAGGCGCGTAATACCTAATGCTGTAGACAGCAAGCAGTTTCGGGACAACTTGAACTTGAAGTGCTCCAAGAACGTGTTTCTTGCACAGTGATTTGCAGGATATTCGACAGGAATTTCGGAATCGCGGGAGTTCATCCAAAAATGCGGGATACTTATTAATCCTGAAAAATCAGGGTACTTGGCTGGTATGAGAGAGGGGAAAGAGTGAAAGAGAGGGAAGAAAGAGGGAGAGAGGTTGTGTGTGTGTGTGGGGGGGGGGGGGTATGTGTGTGTGCGTGCGTGTATGCGTTTGAGTGTAATTATGTTCAATTGTGTATGCGTGTGTGCGCGCGCACGCGCGCGTGTGGGTGTGTTTATGTGTGTGTGTTTGGGTGTGGGTATCCACTGAAAATGGTTCGATTATTTGAAGACGGACTGCGGCATTAATGTGAGCCATTCTGTAATCCACCCCAAATATGGCTCAAACTTAACACATCCGTGCATGCATCTTCATTTTCTCTTCCCTGTTCTTCATGCTGCAGAAATGCTGCAGTTCCAGCAGAAGCAAGAGCAACATCCGTGGGTCAGGGACAAGCAAATCTACAGGACATAGTGTGCAATACCTATAGAAGAGTGTACATGTGTGTGTGTGTGTGTGTGTGTGTGTGTGTGTGTGTGTGTGTGTGTGTGTGTGTGTGTGTGTGTGTCAGTACGTGTGTGTGCGTGTGTGTGTGTGTGCGTGCGTGCGTGCACGCGTGCGTGCGTGTGTGTGTGTGCATGTGCACGACAACTATCCCACCCCAGTCTGTACTATAGACAACACATCACGCTGTCTAGCTATAGACTGACTGGGCAACTTCAGTATGGCATGTACTCGCAAGCAGTTCAGCATGACTGCCTCTTCTGCTGTGCTGTATAGTGTACGGTCTGCGAGCAACAACTGTGATATCACAGTGTTCATGACTAGTCCGTGTACTGAACGTTGATCATTGTATTGTGTTGTTATTCCATTATTCAGTTTATTGGTCTGCGGCAACAGCGAGACACTTTTAGATCTATTACGTATGCAAGAGGTACACAAAAAAATAGAGCTTTTCGTTGTGGCTCAGAGTTTCAGCTTGGGAGTTTCAGAGGTTTTAGTCTATTATGATTTCGATCTCAGTTTTAGAAGTGTCAAGTCAGCCGGCAGGAAGTGTGAGCTCCGTCGTTCGGTGCAGACACTTTCTTTATGGTTTGTTCTCAAGTATTAATTTTTTAAATGCAGTACATTTACAGGTATAGGTGTATTTTTCGGAAGTACTGGTGCACTCATTTGTATCAAGCATCTCAGTGGTGAATGTGTGGGTGGTGAGCTGGTGAGCTGGGGGAGTGAGGAGTTTTTTTCTCGCTTGCAGTAGATGTACATTGTATTACCAGCGCACACGCTTAAAAGTTGTACCGACTGTTGGGGCAGGGGCCGGAAACACTGTGTGTCTGCCGGGTGTTCATTGGCCACTCGGCTAACACCAGCATGCTTGTAACAATACAGAAATACTCTTTTTCAAGTAATTGGTTGAGGGGGGGGGGGGGGGGTAGAAAAGGTTGACTGCCAGCCACCAACAAGCTGTCCCCGGGGAAAATTGTGATTCCGCAGCCGCGTTTTTCCCCCCGTTTTTTGCGATTTTTTAAAAGACCGCGTTTTCCGCGATTTTCCCGCGTTTTTTGAACTTTTTTGTTGCACTACACGTACACACAGTGCACTTTTCGGTCAGCAACGTCTCATCGTGGCGGCTTTTTACTCAAATAATGGGTGCTTTATACACCAGAGACTTGTAACTGATTGATTTCACTACATACTCACTGAAAATTGCCGCATTCACCGCATATTTACCGCATATTTACCGCAAATTCACCGCAAATTATGCCATATTATGCCGCGTTTTTCCCCGCGTTTTTTGCGATTTTTTTCCGCAATTTTCCCCGGGGACAGAACAAGACCGGAACCGTCAGGGACAGGGACCTTCGCCTTAGCCGAGTAGGCATGTCATGGATGCTCTAACCACTGAGCCATGGTGTAGCCGTCATCCCAGCAGCCCGGCAGTGTTCAACTTGCTCTTACTAAAACATTGACTGAACCCACTCTGACGGATACAGGACGAAATGAGGTTCATTGACTGTTTTGTTTTTAATCATTAAAAGGCTCAACATAAGCAAAAATGGGGTGGAAAGAAAAGGGGATCAGGATTAAATACAGAATTCAGTGGAAAGGGTCAGGGAGGAATGCTGGGATCAAGTGACAGTGTTAGAACATTGTGAGAGTTGGCAAGATTAGCGGAAACTGAGCTTAAAAAAAACTGGCCAATCTAAACTGGCTACCACCTACTTGCTAGACTGGAGTAATGATGCGAAAACTTTGAAGACGACGAAAGTCGCACAACCACACGCGTATGCACACACACACACACACACACACACACACACACTGGCACACGTGCACACACACACACACACGGACACACACTGGCACACGCACACACACACACACACACACACACACACACACACTGGCACACACACAGACACACACACTGGCACACGCACACACACGCACGCACCCACGGATACACACCCACCCTAAAGCGTACTTCTAGAAAGTAGCCAGACAGTTGACCAAAATTGAGTATCAATACTAAAACGCTAAATCTCTACAGATGGCTAGAGGCAAACAAAGCCAGCTGTACAGGGTACATCAGAGAGTGGTTGAGGAAGAACCATTGACGGAGACAGTGTGTAGCAGGAGTACTAAAATCCTGTTTTTTTAGTACTCCCCAGGTGTGTAGCACCCTATGTGGAGAACTTCAAGCGAAGTTGGTGTTGTTGATAAATTAGGCAAATTCTCAAGTTGACCAGGACAAGAAAGTACTCACGCACGCTCGCTCGCTCGCACGCACACACACGCACATGCACACACACACACACACACACACACACACACACACACACACACACACACACACACACACACACACACACACACACACACACCTGAGAGTGTTCGACAGCACTTCCGTCTAGTCAGCCGGTCGCAGGTACCCACAGTCGTCAACAGCACACGACGACGACGACGACGATGTTTTCTTCACGACCGCCTTGCTTGCTTCAGTATCCGCACCCGGACTTGCTGGTTCTGCGTAGTTCGGTGATGACGTCAACACTGTGGCCGTAACCGAAGACACAGCACTGCCAGTGCTCGGAGCATCGGACGCACAGGCAGATCGAGCGGTGTTCAGCGTGGACACCTGCAGCGCGCTGAGCCGATGGAAGTTCTTGCGCAGCGCCGACACGTGCTGCGTGTTCGTGGCCTGCACCCGTTCCTCGCGCTCGACCTGACGCGCGCGGTTCGCCGCCGACAGCGACGGGATGCTGGAGCAGTTGGCGTAGCCATGGTGGTTGTTGTCGCTGCCGGTGGTGGCGGCCATCTTGCTGCCAAGGGCAACCACGTCGCGGGACGAGGAGGCGCGCCGGACGTTGGGCTTCTGCGGCGGCGCCGGCAGGATGGACGCTCGTTGCCGCGACGACGCGGGGTTGCCATGGCGACTGCGACCGAATCCCCGCGGCAGGGTGCCGGCGCGGCCCTCGTGGAAGCGCGACGACGAGGCAATCGCCGATGACGACGCGAGCGTCCTGGACTTGCCTCTTTCGGTGGTGGTGGTATCAGCTCTATCGTCGTTGGTCTCACTCAATTCCAGAAAGGCGCTGGTACTAGTGCTGCTGCTCAGAGTGTTCAGGTGTGCAAGTATCGCCGCGCGGATATCCTGCGATGGCGCGTCCCCACCACCACCACCACAGCCGCCACCACCACCATCACCACCACCACCACCACCACCATCACCACCCTTGCTCTGCTTCTTTCGGCCTAGCGGCGAACGGGCAATGACCGCCGCCTCCGCTGCAGCCCCGTGGTCTTTCGCTGCCACCGTCTCCACTTGCACCGCTGCTGGACTGTGCTCGGATGTGACGGCTTTCTCGGCATGGACGCACGCCTTCATCAACTGAGTGGCACGTTCCGTGCCGTTCTCTTCGGACACCGGGCCATCATCCTTGGTGAGCTGTCCGTCCGACTCGCAGCCGCTGGCGACTGGCGAGATGTCGACGTTTTCGTAAGCGTCGGCGTCGTGGCCGTCGCTATTGCCGTCTGTTCCTAGTCGTGCTGGAGTGTCGTACACATTGATGTCGTCATCCATACTCGTATATCCGTCTGCGGTCACTGCTGCACCGGATTTACTACACGGTGTCCGGTCAAGCGAGTTGATCACACTCCGCCTTGCTGACTCATGATTGGCCGTCGCCGTGCCCGCGGTCGGCACACTACGCTGTCTCCGTGGCAATGAGCAGAACTTGCCCAGCTGCACCTTGTACCCGAGCGAGGCCGGGTCCGAGGCGCGGCGCACCGGCGCCGGCGGAGGCTGCTTCTGGCCATCGCAGGGGGCAACGGTGGCGTTGATGCGAGAGTCTCGTTTCGGTGACGCGGATGCGCTGCGGCTGCTGGCGTGGGCGTAGGCCTTTAGTTGTACGGAGTGCTCGGGAGAGGTGACCATATCCTCGTAACCGTCGGCGTCCACACTCACCACGGTTACCTCGGTGCTGTTGCTATAGTGACGACAAACCTGATCGGCACTTGTCGACGATGACGATGGTTTCTGCGGGGACTGGCGCTCGGCGTTGCCCCTGGCGCCACTGCTGGTTGCCGCCGCTCCGGCAATGGACGCGATGCCCCGCCCCGGGGGGTTGGTCATGGGCGACGGAAGGGAGGTGAGGACGTCGCGTGACGCGTAGTGCTGCGCGTCCGCCTCATGATCTGCTGCAGCTGCCGCCTTGAGCCGGCTGCAAGCCGCTCCGGCACCGTTGCCGTTGACGACCTCACCCGGCGTAGACTGACGGAAGTTGAACACGTTGGGCTCGGGGGCTATACCCGCCGATACGCTCCTCCCGAAAGCCGTGGGACTATCGACGTAGTGACATTCGATGGTCTGCGATTTCGTGGCCGTAGAGCTTGCCTCGTTGTCTGCCGAGCTGGACGAGGACGACGATGATGATGAGGTGCTGGAAGACGAGGACAGAGGACTTGAGCCGGACATGATGGCAACCGTTACCGATGCTCCTGCTGGTCCTGTTGTTGTGGCGACGGCGGCTCCGATGGCTGCCGGTGAGGAGGAAGATTTTGTAGCGGCAGCAGTGTACTTGTAGGCACCACGCCGCCTGCGAGTTTAGAAAAGACAAACACGATGTGCACACGTACGCATGCATGCACACACACACACACACACACACACACATACACACACACATACACACACACACGAGCGTGCACGCACACAGAAAGTTCACGCACGCACACACGAGCATGCACGCGCACACACACATACACACACGCACACACGCGCACACACACACACACACACACACACACAAACAAGCACACACAGAGAAACATGTGATGTGGAAGTTTGAGACTCAATGTATACAACTTCACAAAAGCAAATCGGTAACTAAACCACACTTCCACGAGCAGAACACAATGTCGACCATTATTTCAGCAGCTAGCAGAAAAAATATGGGTAAGCAGCAGATCAGCTGCAGAGCGCAGTTATGGTGTGGTGGTCGACGATAGAAAGCTAGTAGAGATATACCGTAATGTCGCGTATTATTTTAACCCTTTCAGTGCCAAGGGGGTCAGAAAAATTCAAATTTTTCCGAGTTGAGCTGAACTCAAATTTTCATAGCTCAGCTGTATATCCACGGATCTTTACAAACGATGGCTCTCTGGAAAGATATCATGGCCAGGCAGACAGCTGTGAAGAGAAAATGCAGCGAAAATAGTTTTCCTCGCGAGGGCGCCTGGGCGAAGTCCGTTTTCTGCCTTTTCGTAGCATCTACACTTTCTCACGCGCGCGCGCGCGATCGATCGCAGCGCAGTCAACTTTCAACGCACGAAATTCGGACAAAGTTGGCCTGAAAGTCACTGAAATTCTCGATGTTTTGATACCCAATACGCATGTGTTGCCGCAAAAGAAATAGAGAAACCCGCGATGCGCATACGTCATGTTTTCTACACGCGACAATTGTTTGTCCGAGCGCGCGCGCGCTTCAAGCTTCGCCCTGGCGATATCTATCCTCACGGACACAAAACGATGTGATGAGTCGATAGCCAAGGTCTTCCTGAACACGTAGAGTGGTTGTTTGTAACTCTCCTGTGTGTAGAAGTGGAGATACAAATTTATTTGTACTAACATACTCACTGGGCGACTAAAGTCGCCCGTGGCACTGAGAGGGTTAAAGCCGAGCTTGATCCTGTAGAAGCCGGTGTCCGGGCTAGGCTTGTATTCAAACCAGGTATTTCTATGTGTCAACACTAAAACCAGACTTATGTGCCGACAGTGTATCTTGAAAATCAGGCTTCTATTCAAAACAGGCTTTAAAATACAAGACACTACGGTACAAGGATTCCTACCTTTCTCGATAGCAGATGAGAATGACAATAACGGCGGTGGGAACGACAACCCCAATGACAGTCAGAGTCACAATCAGGGCTATGGTGGACATGTTACGACTTGGCTCGCCACCGCCTTCGGATTCAGATACATTGGGTAGTACGATAGATCCTGCGCCGGACGACGGATGCACAGAACAGGCACAATAACACACGTGTCCAGACATGCACACGCACACACATACGTACGCACGCACGCACACACACACACACACACACACACACACACACACACACACACACACACACACACACACACACACAAGGACGAATAAGAAAACAGGATTTTCAACTCACTTGTTCCGGTACCCTTGGAAGGGCAAACTCCCCCCCAGGATCCCTGGGATGCGAATGCTTCAGGGTTCGAGTACCATGCATCTAACCCAGTATCTGACTGTTTTCAAGTATTTTCACCCACATGCCACAACTCTGTTGCCACCAGTCCAGTCTCAGCTACACTACCAACGCTCAGGCAATTGTGCGGGTGTGCCCCCCAGACACGCACGCACGCACGCAGTCTCTCCCCCTCTCTCTCTCTCTCTCTCTCTCTCTCTCTCTCTCTCTCTCTCTCTCTCTCTCTCTCTCTCTCTCTCTCTCTCTCTCTCTCTCTCTCTCTCCCCCCCCCCCCCCCACACACACACACAGAGGCCGCCTCACCATCACGTTCGCAAGTGAACCCGCCCGTCAGCCACACGTCGCCGGACCCGACGCACATCGCTCCTCCCCTGGCCAGGTAACCATGACGGCATTTCAAAACTGCTGTCACATGACCGGGAGGACGTTGACTGGTGTGGGTATGAGCGACATCATCATCATCATCGTCATCGTCATCAGCATCGTACACGATCTCTATAGCATTCAGCGGAAGCTCTAGCGTTGGTTTGCATCCTACATCTGTAACAGGAACACGGAAGAGACAGGCGAGCGTACAGTGTAAAACGGCTAATTGTAGCGCCGGTCATATTTTTAACGATTTAGCAAAAGGAGTGCTTTCGCTGAAGTTTTGCCACGCCAATCGAAATAGATGATTTATCCACCACGGCAGCTCTCGTTCAGAGCTTCTCCTGTCAGCGGAGACGGATGATTGTAGTCCTGACGGCCGTCCTCCAAGGAGACTTGGAGACAGCATGCCGTACAGAACAGGTCTGGTCGTCTTCTTAGTTTTACTGTGAAACTCGGATTGCTAAAATATTAATTTTATAAAAAATAAATAAAAAAGGACCAAGGAACTACAAGTTACGCTATAATGTCCACAAAATTAATCCTTGGCTCTCCATCCGAGTCCATTCTTGCTAAAATATTGCATCGCGAATCGGTCCTGAACTCCTGATTCCGAAAACAGCGAAGGTTTTACCCGCTGAAATTAGCCGTTTCGTACAGCAAGGCATTGTCTACAGTTCTATTCTCGCCGTCAAGTCAATAAATTTTTCGTTCAAGGGGGTAGGTGGGTGGGTGGGTGGGGGAGGGTCATAACTAAACTTTTTCGTTCCGTATTGATATTGGCGGATGGCCCCTAAGCTGGTTGTGTTCCTCAACACAATCCTATGCTGTTAGTCTACACATATTCAGCACATATTTTATTTTCGCCCATTTTCGGCCTGGTCCTGTTTGACCGAAAATTTGTTCTGCAAGGTTCAGTGTGCCAGTGTATACACGCGGCAGCAGTACAGACCGAAGACTTGATGCGGCCGAAATGGGTTTTAGCCCTGGGAGGCCGAAATTCGAACGGGCCGAAAATTCGCCGACTTACAGTAGCCGGTTGTGACGCGGCCGTGCGAATTTACTTTACTTACGCATGTCAAGAGGTGGTGGTACTGGCGACATGCCACTAGACGGTGGCACGGTTGTCGGGGACGACGGCGGAGTTGTCGTGGCAACGCTCGCGGGAGGACCGCAGATGCCCGTGTTGGCGTCGTACACCCAGCCGAGCATGCTGGGCAACCGTGCGCACGAGTACGTTCCCTCGGCGTTGATGCAGAGCTCGCACTTGCTGCAGCTGTGCGTCTCCAGCCAACACTCGTCATGATCTGCACACACACGGGATTTCGGGTCGGAATAAAACAAAAGGTCAACAGGTAGGAAGGGAAAGACAGACGGACAGACAACCAACCAAATAGATAGACATACCACGGCTGTCACGATGGTCATGTACTCGGCCAAAAAAATATGGCGTCCAAAAATTTGAAAATTCAAAAATCTCATCATCGATCTGTCATTGATTTGCTTGAAAATACTCTTTTTCTCTTGAGAAAACCTCCACTTTCCCCTTCCAATCGACCGGGTTTCATAGTACAAACACGCTTCATGACTTCCTCTCGCGATCCTCTTTCATCTGATACCCGTCTTGGCCGTCTTCTTCCAGGAACGATTCCTTCAGAGGTGCGTTACCTTTGCCTTGACGACTTGCCCTTCGTCACTTCTATCAGCCCTTTTCACAGCTACCTTCTTCTCTTGTAAAAGTTTTCTCGTCTTCTTTGCCAGTTTTCCTGGTGCCTGGGTGACTTCATTTACCGATTTTTTGAATTTGTTTGTCTTTCCGTGCTACTAGATCGATTTCCGTGGCCATCGATTCTACCGTATCGCGTGCTAGTAGTAGTGTGTAAAATGGATGAACACAGTGCATTGCTGTCTACCTGCTGCAGTATTGGTGGCAAAAAGTTTGCCAACATGGCTGTGTCCACGAAATACAACGTGAAGGACTATGCCAGATCATTCAAGATGTGTACGAGGTCGACATTTCTCAGGATGACCCTGCGATCCACCCTACACACATTTGTCATGTATGCAAACGTGTGCTGGATCGTTGTCTGAGAGAAGGTTGCCTTGACTCATTTGTAGGGGATGGATGTGGAGCGATCAAAGTGTGGAAGCCACATCACCGCACATACTGCGACATATGCCACACTGCACCAAACAAGGGTGGACGTCCACCAAAAAAGCAGAAGCAACTTGCTTCAAAGCTTTCTGCTGTACAAAAAAGAAAAAAAGAAATGGATCACACAACAGTCCCACAACATTCATCCACAACAGCAATACCCCTATCACACTCTCCTGGACCCCAGACTGCACACAGTACTAGTGAAAAATGGATGTAGATGAAGGAAATGTTTTCACGCACGTAACACCAACATACAGCGCACAGAAGAAACTGGACAAGACTAGGTTCGTTCATTGCGCACCAGGTTCCACAATACACAGCAAGGGAAGTGCCAATGAATAAGAAAGACGGCAGCATAGTGATGGCATGCATGGCGTACATGCCAAATCTCATTGACATCGTGATGATCTGATGATCTGGACTTGTACGACACATATGGGTGGCTGACCTGGCACGGAAATGTCATTCCGGAGTCCGAGATTCGGCTAAAACTTGGCGGTGACCGCCTCTGGAGCAAATCTTTCGCAAGCCAAGCACCACAACAATGCCATCCGCCCAGTTATCTTGCCAATTCCCGTCAGCAACGTTGTTATTCCGTCTTTTCATCTGGATCTCGGCATTTTCGCATGGCTGTATGACATCTACCTAGCTGAAGCCAAACAACTGGATGTGAAACTGGCAGCAGCAACTCTCTAGCCGTGTGCAGATGATCAGCTCCAGTTTCAAGAGCTAACAGTTCTCAGCGACAAAGTTCGGTCCGCCAGGCAAGCTATGGAAGATGCCCAGGCGAAGAGCGATGAACTACAGCAGCAGCTCCAATATGCAGTGCTCTTGCAGCAACACGCACCGACCAGCTTTCCCAACGTCAACATGGACACTGTAGCTGCAGCAATACAGCAACTGTGGAAAGACGCCAGCGACGCCTTCACTGCTGCAAGTGCTGAGCACAGCAAACTCGTACATGACTTAGACGAGATGAGAAAGAACAAGAAAGTCACAGGACCATGCGCGTCAAGTCTCGAGTCTGTGCTCCAAACACACAATGTTGATCGGCAAGCCTTCCATGGCGGTGCCTTCGTGGGCAACCATGTACATCGCACACTGCAGCCTGCCGTACTAAGAGCACTGATGTCTGCTCCAGTTGAGGTGGTTTCCACTCGTTGCCAGCAGCTCGTTGCTGATGCAGAAATCTTGCAGCAGCGGTACCATGGATTGTTTTCGGGATATGCCGACTGCAGCCACCGTTTCAGCCATTGCAACAGCATGTCAGAGGCCGACATCTCAAAGCTGGCTGACTGCATCCAGCTGTTTCTTCAGAAATGCAGAGAATCCATTATCACCCGGCAGCTCGGCAACATAACTCCGAAACTACATCTCTTGGAGGAGCGCACAGTCCCATTCACCAGGAAATTTGGAGTCGGTCAGGGTCGACTCGCCGAGCAGGGCAGCGAGTCAATTCATGCCAGATTCAACAGGCTGAGCTTCGATTATAACGCTATTCCTGGGACTCTGCAGCGCCTCACAGCAATGTGCCAGCAACATCTCGTCGGGACATTGCCACAACATGACGCTGTTCGTCCCGCCACGGCATCAAGAAAACGCTAGGCGTCCGAGCTCGAGCAGTGATCCTCAGGCCCTGGACGCAGCAGCTTGGCCATTTCAGCCCTGATCCAGGTAAGAAAAATAACAACGGTACTGCTGACTCCTAGTTGAGCTCTGTAGTGACAACAGGAAGAGACGTCGTCCAGCAAAAACCTGCTGTCTACCTTCTCCTTCCTTTTCTTTCCTTGTTTGTTGTTGTCGAAGCTGAACAATTTTTGTTGTGCGACTTCGAAAGTTTGAATCCTTGTCCCGATCGCGGTGTTTGTTACCTTGACAAAGCACAGTTTTCGCGTGAATCCCACAGGATCTTGAAATCTTTTTCAGTTTTCAGAATATTTTTGAATTTCACCGTAAACCTGGGCGAAGGCCGCCATATTGTTAAGTGGTGGCCGCGAAACAGCCGTGATACAGATAGATAGACAGAGAGACAAGCAGGCAAACAAACAGACGGACGGACGAACAGACAAATACTAGTAGGTAGTTGGTGACAGCAACACTGACAATTCCGACACATGATCCCATCGAAAACAAGCAAACAAAAGAGTGACTGGACCGTTTGACCATCTACGCACACATCGACACACACACACACACACACACACACACAAGCGCACGCGCACATCGACACACACACACACACACACACACAACACACGGTCACACACATACACCCACACGTGGACAAACAGAACGTTATAACACAATGGAACACAATACCATACGCACAACTCTTACCATGGCAGATTGGTGGCGGAACATTCCACCGTCCGAACTCGCAGAGAGTGATAGCCGAGCCTCTCAAGTTGAATCCTCTAGGACACGTGAACAGCTGTGCTTGGTAACCGGAAATGTTTGTCCTCACCGTCCTGCCCCAGCGTGGTGCCGGCAAGTCCTCGCACGTGATTTCTATAGCGCACGGCAAGGTATGGTGAAAACACACACACACAGGCAGAGCATTTACTACAACAGAACACATACACGGTTACGGGTATGATGTCACGCGGAATGATGTCACATGGTATGATATCAAACTGTATGTCTGTGTGTATGACGTCACACTTTATGATGGCACACGGTATGATGTCACACGGTATGATGTCACACTGTACATATATACCTCGGGTAATATATACCCCACGTCCTGTGTGCATGGCGTCACGTTGTATGATGTCATACTGTATGATAATATACTCAGATGGAGAGCCAAGGTTTAATTTATACAAAAGAGAAAGACCAAGGAACTACAAGTTACGCTATACTGTCCACTAACATCTGAGTACATTCCTGCACACCTGATGAGCCGTCTTTATCTATACGGCAAAACGATCGTCGTGTGAAACTGCTGCTTGTTACCGCTGCTTATTGTCCATCTAAATTGTCATAGTAGTAGGTTTTTCATTTTGACCCGACGAGACCATACGACGCTTGCAGATCACAGCACGAACAGTTCACCAGCCACACTCCACACTTCATTCAACAACTGCTTCTCCTCTGATGAGTTCCCCGTTATTATCTCTATGGAACGAAACAAGACTTGTCAGGAGTACTACTACTTGCTTTCGTGGAGTGTGGCCGGTGAACTGTTCGTGCTGTGATCTGCAAGCGTTGTATGGTCTCGTCGGGTCGAAATGAAAAACCTACTACTACTGTATTTGACGGACCTATTGAAGATGGCACAAAGAATTTAATTGTCATAGTCTAAGTACAGTGCTGTGTTACTGAGGCGTTCGGTTTTTCATGATTCTTGTTCGCATAGCTTCCCCTTTTATTGATCTTCGCATCTCTTGAGCCACACAAGTTGTGTGGAATGTTGCTATGCGTTCTGGAATCGTGGTTTGACCGAATTGTCCAATGGTCTTGCCAGTATCGTCATCGACATGCATGAACATCCGCCAACGCCCTTGACAGCTGAGACTTTCAGCTCGTGCTTATCTTGGTTGCGCTCACCTTCCCCTCCTTATGTTATTTCTATAACTTAGAACCTTCCAAGTTGGAAGGCTGTTGGAGTGCGCATCCAAGATGTGCTAGAGCTGTTAGCCAGTTAGTTGTAGAACGTCAGTACTGTCGGTCAGTGTCGTGCAATGTTATCGCATGAGCTGATTGTTTAGTAACTGGTGGTGTTAGTGGACAGTATAGCGTAACTTGTAGTTCCTTGGTCTTTCTCTTTTGTATGATAATAGCATTGCATGCATGAGCCAACAAGCACACACATACACACACACACATACACACACACACACACACGCACACACACACATACACATACACACACACACACACACACACACACACACACACACACACACATACATACACACACACACACACACACACACACACCATTGGACCATTGGACCATTGGACGCCCATCGCCAGAGGCGATGATAGCGATGCTACAGCAGAAGCCATAGCAGCTTGTGCTGGGATTCCACCATTCAACAGCTTGCAAGGCTGAAGAATTGACCGCCACTATTCAGCCTGGTCTACACCACACAGCTATGAAGTGGCTTTTTTTGGCCAGTGAATCCCTACTTTTTGGTCTTTTTCATTTTTTTCACGCACACACATCACACCACATACTCCGGCATGCACTGGCTGTTGGTAACCACCCAGGAGAATGAAAGAACAGTCAGGTGAAGTCTGAGAAAGAGAAGAAAGACGTGTGTGACCATAATCGTCAGGAATCGAACCCGCAACCTATCGATTGGAAATCGCTGCACATACCACTGCACCATATGAGACACACACACACACACACACACACACACACACACACACACACACACACACACACACACACACACACACACACACACACACACATACACACACACACACACACACACACACACACATACACACACACACACATTGACCTTTGACGCCCATCGCCGGAGGCGATGATAGCAATGCTACGGCAGAAGCCATAGCAACTTGTGCTGGGATTACACCATTCAACAGCTTGCAAGGCTGAAGAATTGACCGTCACTATTCAGCCTGGTCTACACCATACAGCTATTTGGAGTGACATTTTCTGGCCAGTGAATCCCTTTTTTGGTCTTTTCATTTTTTCATTTTTTTTTCATACACATACACACACACACACACACACACACACACACACATACACACACACACACATACACACATACACACACACACACACACACACACACACACACACACACACACACACACACACAACCTCCCCACAGTCTAACAAGAATATCTTACTGTGTTGACATCTGCTCCCAGTAAAACCGTCCGAACAGACGCAGATGTCGGGCTCCGAGCAGTAACCTCCATTCTCACACTCTTGTCGGCAAATAGCTAGCAACGACAGAGAAAGGAAATAACAAAATTCCATGTTAGTGTTGGAGAACACTGCATCATCATTCCATTCTCCCTCGTACATCAGATTGAGTAGAGCAGAGCATCCAGTAGCGGACGGACGCCTCTTGTTTCGAGGATCGCCCCCACATCACCATAAGCGTGTCTATGTACCTACTGAATAAGCAGAAAAATTCGTCTGGAATTTACTTTCGTCTTTTTCGTCCAAGGAGCTTTTGGACTAAATTCAATGTAGGACGAATATCGATTTGTCCAGCTTTTCTATACACTCTTATGATCCATGGACGAAATTTTCAACCGGACGAACTCCTTTTCTTTGGAGTTGGACGAAATTATTGACCGACGAAATTTTCTGCCTCTACAGTATATCAGCAAGAGTACATAACCCCCCAGAGCGTGCAACTCCACTATGGCCTCAGTATGGGTGCTGTCCCGACAGAATTTCAAGTTGACGTCATTTTGATGATGCAATGCGTGAATTATCAGACGAATCCGGAACCTGTGGTTGACCGAAGCCGATCGATCCTGTACAAATTATTGCAAAGAAAAACGTGTGATGCGTTGACACCCGTACACATGTTGTAAATCACTGGTGCAAGGAGCATTGCGTCATAAATAATGACGTCAACTTGAAATTCTGTCGGGACAGCAGGGTATGTGGGAGTTGCACACTCTGGGGGGTTATGTACTCTTGATATCAGCGATTCAGTTTTGACTATACTGGAACCCCCCCCCCCCCCCCCTGTAGAGATCGCTGGATCAACCGCAGGATATCCATGCAGTGCAACATAGTGAATATACTCTGTGCTCATTATTCGTATTTCCGGGAGCTAACAAATGCACGAAGCATAACACACCGGCAACAAATAATTCACATGATGTATAAGCAAAAATATTCGTCTGGTATTCAATTTCGTCTTTTTCGTCCTAGGAGCTTTTGGACTAAATTAAATGTCGGACGAATGTAAAAATAACACTAAATAGAGTGAGCGTATTCTGAATTTCTTACGTTTGTTGCAGATGTAGTTGTGGTCAATCTGCCAGCCTGCATCGCACGTGCAGAAGCCGGCCATGAGCAGCCAGTCGTTGTCGTCCTGGCGACAGACACCGTGACGACACTGGCCACGCCGTCGGTCGTCCGTACACACTGTGTGCACAGAGGCAGGGAGAGAGAAAAGAAAGTCCGGAGAAGCAAAGAGTTGTTAACCATTGATTAGCTTTGTACTATCGGCGAGAGTGTCGGCGAGAGTGTCGGCGAGAGTGTCGGCGGACGGAGAAAGTAAGGGCATGTAAAGTAGGCCTTGGCGGATAATGCCAGCAAAAAATTGGCAGAATTCGGAACTTTTTCTGGTAAGTTTCATGCATGTTTGGATGCGGATAAAGAAATGGAGCAGAATTCGAGGAATTGCCCGCCATAAGGTTTGTATGGTTCTGCCAATTTCACTGCTTTTCGAGCAGAATCTGCCACCTTTTCGACTATTATCCGCCTATGCCTAATGTAAAGAGTGTGTAACCATTGGTTACCCCTTACCAGTAGCTATGTACAGTCGTCCCTCTCTAATCCGGCACTTGTTTATCCGGAACCCTTGCCAACCAGCGCACTTTTTGACGAAACCAATTTTTTTCGTTCAATTCCTACATCTTAATCCGGCACTTGAATTCCGCCTCCGGCAGTGACTTTTTGAAACGAATCGCTCAAACTGCACGTAGTTTGATTTCATAATCCGGCAGTCGTAAATCGCGTACCGCACAGGTGCACTCCAGGCTAGGCCAGTCTGGTCAATGTTGTCCAGGAGACAACGGCAGTCAACCATACTTTCTTATTTTAGCAAGGAGTAGTGTCCTGCCAATTTTCAGGTGTGTGTGTGTGTGTGTGCAAGAGTGAATGTGAACATGTTCTCTGTTTTACTTTATCACTTTATCACTGTGTATATTCCCGGAGAACAATTGAGAATATAAAGCCGTGCACCAAATACTTGGGTCGACACGGAAAAACCCTGCGTTTTGACGTACATATGATACATTTGGGTAGGGCCGGGTCAGAGGGCAGGATTTCTTAATCCAGCACCCTCGTTAATCCAGCAGAAAACGCCGTAGCAAAAGGTGCCGGATTAGAGAGGGACGACTGTACTACCGGCATGGCAATTCCCAATTTCAATGCACACAACAGTACAAATTGAATGTGTACACGTGCCTATGTTGATGGCCTACACGACAGCAGCACGTGATCCGTCGTCACCACAGCACAAGCCGCGGGCGAGCGACGCGCGTACTCTCACCTTTGTTGCATCGCACGCCGTGCAGGAACGTGGAGAACGAGCAGTCGCAGCGTCCCGAGCGCTTGTCGCAGTAGGCGAAGCCGTCCGGAGTGCGGCAGTCCTCCAGGCTGGTGCAGCGGAAATTAACATCACCTAGATGATCTAAAACAAGGGCAAAGAGAAGAAATAGAGAAAAAACAGAGATCAGGACAGAAATCAAGTTGGGCGAACAGGCAGACGTTAAATCCAAGCATGTCAAACATAATTTTTACACACATTCAAACGTCCAGGGCACAAACAAGAAATGAAAACAAAACACAGGAAAGGAATGAGTTGGGTGAACAGGCAGACATTCAATCCAACATTTCAAACATCATTAAATTTTCTAAGGGGCCATCCGTAAATGAGCCAGGGACTACAGAAACCACCCTCTGGCAATTTTTGGCGAAAAAAAAATTTTTCTCTCAAAATGTTGGTATGGTATGGTAATGTGCTCAAACAAAATTTCAAGTTGATCTGCGGTGGTAAAATGTGCCTAACCACCTATTTAATAATGGCATATCAATTGAGCGATATAGAGCAAATTTATGTACACAGTTTGTAATGTTCTTTGTATATCTTCTTTGTATATCTTCATTCTTGCTAGTTAGGCAGTTCAAATGTATAGTGAACTATGCCCTCAGCTTCATCCAGTGACGCCTGCGCGCCGTCCACTAAATCTCGGTAGTACTGCCGCTCCTCTTGTGCTAGTGATATGTGCGAACGCAGGGCCTGGACACTACATTCCGTCTCTTCCTCTGTACGGGCGACACGAATTTTGTCCCGCAGATTGTCACACAGTGCGCATACGCCTGTCCTTGGCTTCATCACTATGATCTGTGCTGCCTGTCTCCTGCAAATGTGGCAAAATGACCTGTAATGAACAGGCGAATACTGTGTGACGGTCTTGGTATAGATGTCGTATGCAGACTTCTTTTTCTTAGATGCTGGTAAGTAGACTGGAGGGTCCTCAGCACGACCTCGCTCCGCTGCAGGTTGAGGTAGACCGTACATGTTAGCATATGACTAAATAAACTGCACTACATCCTGCTCTATGTCTGCTGAAATGGCCAAGTGCTCTGGTGTTCTCCCAGTCAAGCCATGGTGTGCCAGTTGAACGACTCCTTTGTTTGCCTTTTTTTGAAGGCGCTTCATGACATGACTTCCAACAGCATGAACTGCCATGAACACGTCTTTGCACAACTTACTCGTAACTACGTACATGTTAGCGGAAATAGAAAGGTCGATCACCACCACCAGTCATCGACTTTCGCATGCTTCCAGTCAGTGCGCCCAGAACAAACTGCTTGAAGCGCTTTTTCGATTCTCGCAGTTTAGAGACTTCAAATATGTAGTCCTCGAGCTGCTGCTCTGGGATGACTTTCCAATGATTCTTCTACTTGCATCCACAGCCTCTCTCAATCCCATCGCGTATGTCTGAAGACAGGATACCACGCTTCACCTGCTCCGTCGTCGGTGGCTCAGGTGCGGGGCATCTGGTTCGTCATCCGATTCCGAGTAGTCGGTGTCACTGTCCGCGTTTGAAATTTCCGAGCTGTCGGGGCTTGGCGTTTTCGACGAAATACTAGCAGCACTCGAGCTTGCTGTGACTCCATACGTCTTCTTCTTAGGTGGCATATCATCGCCGTCGCTGTCAGCATCGGTGTCGGAATCGCTCGCGGACGACTCGCGGTGCCAGCGCTGAATCCGTAAAAATTCTCGTCGTCCGATTCAAGCGCCTTCGCATCAGAGACTAGTCGACTCCACACAGAATCGAGCTGCGTCGTCTACTAGATGTTGTAGCCATAATCAATCACCGTAAAGATGTGCCTCATGAGTTACTCGACAATCGCAGCTCTGATCTTGTCTTGAGTCTTGTCAAAACAAAAGTGACGAGTTCTGCTCTTCGCGTAACTAACTTTGAGTCGCGTGACTTTGAAACGTCATAACTTGATTTTGATATCAAACGTCGTAGGGCGGTTTCTATAGTCCCTGGCTCAAATATAGATATATATTTAGAAACGAAAACTAGTCGTTTAGGGGGGGAGGGGGTTGAGCGCCTGTTCGTTTCTCGAAAAATATCGATGCACAGTTTGTATGTGTGGGCACGTCCAGAAAAGAAAAGAAAAAATATCGACCCTGTGCATCGTTTGTATGTGTTCGTTTCTGAGGGAGGGGGGGGGGGGGGGGAGGGGGGTTGAAGAGAAACTACTAGTTTTCGTTTCTAAATAAATATCGGTATTTACGGATGGCCCCTAAACACGTTCAAACGTCCAGGGCACAACATCTTGTCGTTTCTCACGATACATTATCCCCAGCTGTGCTAGCAGTAGACAAGTCCGCAGTGAAGTTCTCGTGAGGAGACGGCTGTCTGTTCATTCTGATGTGGCTCATTACTCCTTGGAAGATGTTTGTCACGGTGTTCTTGTGTCTGTCCTGGTCACTTGTTGTTGGATGGAGGAGGTGTATGTAGGGTAGAGGTGTGTGTGGGGTAGAGGAAGTTGCTGGGTTCGGACTGCAGACGACAATCATTGTTCACTACAGAGGAGGTGTGTGTAGGCTTGTCAGCAACTTGAAACTAAAGAGGTTGAATACAGGAACTAGCAGACTGCATTAGGTCTAAGCTCCATATTGAACAAGGTAACTGGTGATAGCTGCTCACAATGATGACCACTCTGCTTGATTGCCATGTCTTCTGAAGGTCTGCAATTATCCCCGGCAATGATGTTCTGTCCGTCTGCTCCTCTGTTCCTTTCCCTGTCTGTATGTCAGGTTGTCTGTTCCATCGCTGTATGTCTGTATGTCTGTTCCATGTCTGTATTTCTGTTTGTCTGTTCCATCTTTGTTTGTCTGTATGTCTGTTCCATCGATGTATGTCAGTTTGTCTGTATGTTTGTATGTTCCTCTCCATACTCATTCTGCCCCCCCCCCCCCCCCCCACCAACACCACCACACATCATTTTATCAATCCACAGAAGTCAGTATAAATGTTTATATTCTCCTCGCCCACACACGTATTATTACATAATTTTTTACACAATAAATAGTCTCACACCTGAAACACACACACACACAAACACAGACTGAGCTCCCCCCTCCTCCAACACATATCCACATACCCTACACTGGCATCCACACAACTCGAGTCTAGGAGACCGACAGACACTGACACGCACAAGGCCAGTCTTGCCATGCCGGTACCTCCTGGCAGCTCAGCTGGCAAAGAGGTCCGAAGAGGCCACCATTGTTCGGCACTAATCACCAATCTGCTACCTCTTAAGATTATTTACAGCAGTAACACTATGCCCGTGACAGACCCTCTGCTGCAGGCCACTTGATGGTTAATAGTGACCATGCAGCCTTCATGGCTGCAGCAAGCCAGGTCCAGCCACTAGTACTAAAGTAGTCCTTTGCTAGGCTAAATACAGAAGCAACACCTTCCACACCCTTCTAAAATTAATGTGTGTTGCGCCAATGCCGAATGGAGAGTGTGGTACCGTCGTCGGACTAGGATATTGTAGTTCATGTAGTCATGTCAGCCATTAGAGATGGTAATCTTAGAAAAGAATGGTCAGGAGCGCTCTGCGTAATTGAGTTAGTGCTGCTTATTGATGGTAGCTGCAGCTGTTATTGCTGCTGCTGCTGCTGGTGACGATCTTCGAGTGCAGTGCGCACGCACGCAGGCACGCACACACACACACACACACACACACACACACACACACACACACACACACACACACACACACACACACACACACACACACCCGTTTCTGCCCCAACCGAAAGTCAACCCCCAGTCGTGTTCCAATCACCAAGACTCTTTGTCTAAGTCACTAAGCAGCACACGCGAGTCATTTAGTACCATATTTCTCCGACTGTAAGTCGCCACCCCTGTTTTCAGCTGTGAGCCACACTGGTTCAATACATTCACATTATGTAGGATGTCGCTCGATTGTAAGTTGCACTGCCTCCCTTTCCCTTGAAGTTCAGTGCAAAAAGGTGCGACTTACATTCGGGGGAATTCTGTCTTACATCTGAACAAGGCTCCAGTATTGCATTGCAGAGGGTACTGTAAAATCCATATACAGTCAGACCTCGCTTATCCGGTCCTCGTTTATCCGGATCCCTCGCCATCCGGAAGAAAATAGTTGGTTACAAATGTACAGCATATGCCATGCTTACATACAGTATGTGTGTTCGATTATCCGGTTCCCTCGCCTATCCGGATATTTTTGTGGAAAACGGATGTGTGCGGTTATGCGAGGTCTGACTGTATAACAAAGTGCTAATTCTAACGAGTTAACGAGGAGAAATCGGTCGTTAAAATAGAAATCGTTATACAGAAATCGATACAATGGTCATATACTGTTCTATTGAGCGTTGAGAATGCGTGAGAATCGTTACCTTTGCCTGGCTTTGGTACACGTAAACGTCAATTTTGGGAAATCGTTATCTATGCGCCTCGTAGAATAATGGCTTTTGCAGTACACAGTACAAACCAAGTCCCCAGTAACACAAACGACCTAAGAACAAAGACCTCTGATGTAGTACTAGTAACCGAATTGCCATCCTCTTGGCAAGGGCCACAGCCACAGCCACAGCCACAGCCACAGCCACAGCCACAGCCACAGCCACAGCCACAGCCACACATTGCACACTACATGGTGATGACCCTGGCCAAAGGGCAGCAGTGCAGCAGTGACTCCTCCGGCAGCTGGGGATGATATGCGACACCTGTACTGCTGCACCTCCAGACCCCCTCGGGGGAGAGCAGGGTATATTTATATATTTATGAGCGTGACTTCACGTGTCTGCATAAGGCTATCTGCCACTGGTGTTGGTACACGACAATAACACAACACTGAGTTTATCTCTAAGGGTTCGTGCCCTGGGGGGTCTCTGCGTGACTACGAACTTCCTCTTCAGAAGCGATATCTTCTACCCTCGATCCTTCAGGGGGGCCTGGAGCGCAGTGCAGAGCAGTGGAGCCTCTTCTGTGTGTACTTCCAGCTCCCGTTTCTATCCTCAACTCTTTCTCTCTCTTTCTATGTGCATAACTACAGGCGCATTCCTGGACAGTCAGCGTATCAAATTACGCGTCCACCATGCAACCCATCGAC